TTTTCTCTTTTTTTCATTAATTCTCCATTGTTGGAAAAAATAGGTGCCAGAGCCCTGAAAAATCTTTCATGTCCCTGATGTTCTGCTAACCTTGCTGAAGTTCTGTGGAAGTTAGGGCCATCTAAAGGTTTTATAGCAAAATTTTATATCTGAAAAGTTAGGAAATTAAAGCACATTGAACCAGTGTGTTTTAATTGATGTTGTACTCCAAGAAACACAGCTTTTGCAGCAGCTTGCAAGTCTGAATGTCAGCTCCAAGCATGGTGATTGCTGCCATAACCAGGCTCATTAACTGCAGCAGAATTACTTGTGATAATACCCCCTCCTCGCCCATAGGAAGATTTTCCCACATACAGCACTGAATTTAGCATGGAATAAGGAAATAGAGTTTGGCTGGTGGAACTTTAAGGGAAAGGTTATACATTTTTTTTCACATTAGTATCTCATTTTGCTGTTCACACCACTGGTCTTTGATCAAATTAACATTTTACTGTAAGTAGAAGAGCACTCAGTTCATGCTATTCATTATCTTGTCAGGAAACAAGGAGAATAATTTAAACTGGATATATTGTGTAAGGCTTTTTTTTCTATTTTTAATTGGAAAGCACACGGCAGCGTTACAATCGTGACCTCCTGGCTCCACTGTGAGCAGTACAATATTTACCTGCTGTATGAAGGAAAATGGAACTATTTTGAAATATTTTGTTACCAGGGAGGTAGTTCTGTACTAGAAAACAGTGGTAGGAATTAGGAGGAATTGTATGACTGAACTGTGCTGGAAAATAGGATTTTGGGCAGTGCTGGATTTGCATGAGCTTCATCAAGGCCATTAGTGTGACTGTCACTGGTCATTGAGGGGTTTTTTTTGGCTGTGCATAGGATTTGGGAGTAAGAAACCAAGAGTTTTAGCGCTGACTGGTGAAAAGCAACTGTGCTGTGGAATATCCAGTGGCTAAAGGGGCTCCAGGAGAGCTGGAGAGGGACTTGGGACAAGGGCTGGAGTTCCAGGACAGGGGAATGACTTCCCGCTGCCAGAGGGCAGGGCTGGATGGGATATTGGGAAGGAATTCCTGGCTGTGCGGGTGGGCAGACCCTGGCACAGGGTGCCCAGAGCAGCTGTGGCTGCCCCTGCATCCCTGGCAGTGCCCAAGGCCAGGCTGGACAGTGGGGCTTGGAGCAGCCTGGGACAGGGGAAGGTGTCCCTGCCATGGCAAGGGTGGGACTAGATGATCTTTAAGCTCCCTTCCAAACCCCTTCTGTAATTCTATGAATCTCTCTGTATTTCTCAGCTGAAGTGGGGCAGTTTCACACAAACAGAAGGTTTTGTGAATTTTCCAGTGGCTCCAAGTTGTGCAAGATTCCTCAGATTTAGCCATTTTCCATACTGGGCGCCTGTCTCTGGCTGCTCTCTTTTTTCTTACTTCAGAAAAAATTGTTCAACCATTTTTAAGAACAAGATTAGGAAAAAAGAAATCCATTTTCTCCCAGATGTTACGAGTTTTTCTTGCTGTTTTGGTGAGGAGCCTGCTGTGCCCAGATTTAATAGAAGGGGTTTGATGAGGGATGGTTCCCTTTTTTCTCAGGGTTGTATCTTCTGTTGCTTCAAGTAGAAAAAAAAAAAATAATAATAATTATAAAACAGACTCAAGTTTGGCCAGCCTATAAGAGTCTGGAAAAAAAGAGTTCACAGAAACTCAGCAGAATCTGGTTTGAATTTGTTCAGGCTTTGCTGCTGGTGCCTGTCCCAGGCACACTGCAGTCACTGCTCCGGCTGGGTGAGCATCCACCAGGCAGGTTTTGCTTTTTCTGGGTGTGATGTGAGATTTTTTGGGGACACAAGGAGGGGAGACACTGCCCAGGCTGCTCCTGCCACGACTGGAGACATCAGCATGGGAGCAGGACGGGGAGAGGGGTTCAGGGTGGGCAGGGAATGGGAGCAGACACCGGGACAGAGACACTTGGAGGACCTTTTGTGAGCACATTTGGAGAAGAAGCAACGAGGAGAAGAGGAAGGAGAAAAGAGGAAGGAGGAAAAGAGGAAGGAGGAAAAGAGGAAGGAGGAAATCGCGGGGTAAGGCTCATTCTGGGTGTCTGTGGATGTTCATTAGGTGGTGCAAGGTACGAGCTGGGGTTTGCCTGCCTGGAGCTAAAGGCTCCATGGAGCACAGAGGAGACAGAGATGAGGCTTCCAGCAGCCAAAGTGAATTAGGAAGGGGACAGAGTGGCAAGCAGAGAGGGGTGGCAGTGGAAGAGGCAATCCCAGAGGGTGTGGCAGGGGAGCAGCACCGAGGCACTGAGCAGGGTCTGGGCAGAGGCAGCTCCTGCCAGGCTGGGAGCCTCCAGCCAGGGCTGCTGTGCAGGGAGCTGTGCCAGGGGCTCCAGGAACCCACACAGCTCCAGACAGGGCTCGTGCCAGTGCAGTCATTAATTCCTGAAGCCCCTCTGGTGGTGCAGCAGAGCTGCCATGAGGAAGAGATTAATGCCACTGGCAGAGGGGAGTGGGATTAGCTGGGAGCAGATGAAGTGCAGGGGTCACACAGAGAATAAGAGGACAAAGAGATCACTCACCAAGCCATGTTCCTCTCAGAGCTGATGGAGCAGGGCATGTCATTGGGAAAATCTCCTTGGAAAAGCCACAGCAGGTCCTGTGTGGTGCCATCCCACTCCTGAACCCTAACACAGGGTGGCTGAGCACCCGCCTCAGGCTTGGCTGTTCCGTACTTGTAAGTGCTCAAATTTGAAACTAGCATTCTTTTAACAGGGTTTTGTGTGTCATTTATAATTTATATTGTGATAGCACCCAAAAGTGCTTTCCAGACACTGAGCACATCTGTAATTCTGCCTCTGAAAAGCTTCCATTCTGTAAGAGGGGGGAAAAAAGCGGGGAATTGACCAGTATTTCCCAAACAGAACTGCCCAGAGTTTGTGCTGATGTATTTTTCACAATGGCTAGTATGAAATCTTGTCTGGTATTATTCCAAGGATCACAACAGGTGTTGGGAATTGGCTGGGGAGGCTGTGCAGAAAGGGCAGCTGACAGCTCACTGTATATGCAGATGTACCACCTATTAGCAATATCCTCTGTGGGTTGCTCGCATGCGAGCTGAATAGATTCTCCAAACAATGCTGCACTGAATGGAAGCCATCAGCAGAATTGCTCAAGGCTGCAAAACCCATTACTTATCCAGCAGTAGATGGAAGAGCAAGTGCCACAGTGTAGTAACTTGTCCTGCTTTGCTGGAGTTGTTCTGCAGTTATTAGATCAATATATGTAGCTGCACATCTAATAAAGTACCAGAAAATAATTTATCTCAATGTGTATTGTTAGCTCAGTATTTATCCTAATATCATCAGCCACATAAACAACATAAATCCCTCTTTTTCTGCCTTTTTTTGCTGCTGTTTCCACGTTTTCCAAGCAGACAATAGATTGTGTCCCCTGCTCTGATTATAGGAGCCGCATCACTGTACTTTTTACAATCACATTTTAATTACAGCTGTAGAACCTATGCAAAATCATTTAATACAATGTTGTGAGCAAATAGCGCAGATGATGCGTTTAGTATTTGATTGCTGTTAGTTTACTCATTGATTAAACATGCAGAGTCTGCTTTGGCTGGGGAGGAAGTCAGAGACCACACACACAGGGCTGTAGGGCTTACATTCACTGTAGGATTCATATTTTCTATAGATTTTATATTTGCTGTAGATTTTATATTCATTATATGTTTTATATTACTATAAGTTGTATATTTCCTATAACTTCTATATTCACTACAATTTTATATTCACTACAGGTTTTATATTTGCTCTGTGTTCTATATTCTCTATTTTAGATTTATATTTAGATTTTAGACCTAGGTTTTCCAAAGGATTAGCCAGGAGTCTGTGGAAGTTCGGGTGGCTCAAAAATGGCAGTGGAATTTGTCATTCCATGAAGGAAGGGATCCATCAGCTGGTCAAAAAAAGTTTTGACCTTCACTGGTGGCAGCTGATGGGTTTGGTAGAATTGCTGATAGGTCTTGGAAGTGGAGATAGAAAATTATTTTGGCTATTTTCTGAAAGCACAGCATGATTTACATGGAGTAGCCCGGGCAAAAAGCAGTGATTACTCAAGGAGGAAAGCAGTGTGGTTTTATAACAATAAAATACATTTTCTTAAAAAGAGAGAAGACAGTCTTGCCAGGAGGAATGCATATTGTAGAAGAACCAGGTTTTGTTCCATTTCTAACAGAAGCTTACAGACAGTTACGAAAAGGACTTTGCTGCTATTTATTGCCTGAAGTTACTGATCCATCTGTCTCTACCCAAACTCTCAGTACAGACAATTTTTCCCCATCATTCTTTCTCCTTTCTATCACTATTCAATATTTAGATGGGAATTTTGACCAGTGGCCAAGTCAGAGGCTTATCAGCTATTGCATAAATCCTCAGCAGCTGGTAACTGAGCTGTGCAAAATTGTCACTTTAGGGTTAAATATTGTTGAATAAATAGACCTGCTGAAAGAAAAGAATCTAACAATTCATGTTTTAGGGAATAATTACTGCAGAAAGACAGCCCACAACATTGTATGTGTGTTTGAGAGAGTGGTCAGAATATCTTTTAATTCAGCATTTACCCGTGAGAATTATTCCCATGAGGAGCCTTGCAATAAAATCTGCTTGGTCTATGAGAATAGAAAGAAATTGAATAAAAAGACTCCATTTCCACTTGTATTTATTCAGTCTGGGAAATTCAGTGGGCCGCAGCATTAGTATCAGCAGGGGATTCCTTGCTCCTAGCGTTAAATTACTGTCATAATCGCTCAATTATTTCTTCCTTGTACTGTTTAAAATAAAAATCCATCACATTCTATGTTTTTTTCTAACATTTATTAGGTTGAGTGTTTAGGAAAATCAATTATATTCAGTCAGGCATGAATTGATGAATGTTCTTGTAATAATTGTCAGTTGTTAAACTGAATGTACTTTCTCTTTTCACCCCTTTTCATTTCCTTCAGAGGGCAGAGGTGGCTCAGAGAGAGGCAGAGACCTTAAGGGAGCAGCTCTCATCAGCTAACAAATCTCTCCAACTTGCTACGCAGATCCAGAAGGCACCTGATGTGGTGAGAGAAAATATTTACTGACTCTTACAGGTTTCTGACATTCCTGCAGTACAGCTCCTTCAATTTATGCCCACAGCTATAAAAACAGCTGTTTGAAGTCATATTTTAACTGAAAGGGAAGGGTGTTCCCTTGGGATTGTGGTGGGGTTCAGCTTCTGAGGGGGCTGGTGGCTGGAGGAGACCATGGGAAGGACAGAGGTCACTTGGCTCTGGGGTGATCCATCACTCCCTGCTCCAGGTGGACAGCACAGCTCTCAGAAATCATTTCACATGGCTGAGAGCACCAGCAGAGGAGAAACGGAGGCAGCAAGAGAGCCTTGGTGGCCATCAGCGCGTGCCTGGCCCTGCGGTGTGGCTCCATCCCGGGGCACCCAGAGCTCCCTGCCCTCTCTGCCCTTCCCAGCTCCGTGTCTGCGCTGTGAGAGAAACTGGAAATAAACCTGATACCACTCCAGTTTTCACTGGCTGTGTCTAAACTGAGAATTACTCCTATAAATCCCTGGAAATTTGAGAAGATACCCTGTACTCCTGCTTGTTGCCTCCTCTGTGTGCTTTGAGTAAAGCCAAGGCTGCTGATGGGACCTGCAGGCGCAGGGGGCTCCAGCTGGCCCTGGGTGAGCAGGTATCACAGATGAGCAGCCAGATTATTTTGATTTTTGTTTGCCAAAGGAGAAATAGAAGTATTTAAATGTAAATATGCAATTAAGTGAAATTTAGTCTACTTCTAAGCAGCAGATTTAAGAAACAAAAGAAATCATTGCTTTTTTTTTCCCTTGCAAGCCTTATACGTGCTTGACACTGATAGCAGAGGAACACATGGCTGCCTTTAAAAATCATTTGCAGAGAATGAGTAACAAACCATAAGTCCTCCAGATCTGTTTGGTTGTCTATTAATACAACCCAGTATTTTCTCAGAGAAGTCAAAAGATAGGCAAGTAGGCTGCAAAACAAAATATAAAAAGCCTGAATATCACTTGTAACTCTGAATTACCTGCCTCTTCCTATCTCGTGTCCTAGTCTTATCATTATTTTAACATTAGGTCTTTCTTGTATTTAATAGTACTTCTGCACTTCATTTATATTTAATATGACAACTACTGCAGGATGAAAATGATCATTATCTATCTTATTTCAGACTCTACGTTCTAGTCTCAATAGGCACAAGCAGCAGATGATTATACAACTTGTGATGTTTCATGCAAGCAAATTAGAGGTTTTTTCAAGTTAAAAGTATAATTCAGTGTAATAGGAGAGTGTTGTTAACTGCTGTTCCTACATGCAGCTTTCTGTGAGTGCAGCAGGGTGTAGTCACTGAGAATCAAGCTGAATGTTTAGCAGATATGGAAAAGGAGATTTTGTTGTTCCTGTATTCCCAGAAAAGAGGGTATGGAGTAAATTTCAATCTGCTGCAGTGTCACCTTCAGCTGTCAGGGTGTCACAGATCTGTGGTTTAGTGCTCACCGTCTTCATCTGCTGGGGTGAATTCTCAGCTCTTTCACCACAGATCTTTGGTTTAGTGCTCACCGTCTTCATCTGCCTCTTGCTGAATGGATTCTCTTCTCCTTCACTGGTGCTTCTGAGGAACAGCCATTAACCTTTGTCAGATGCATTTTGGGCTCTTTAATGGAACGTGTGCCCCTCCTTGGGCTGCCTCCTGCCCCACACAGGCACAAGGCCTTCCTCACATTCTCCATGGAGGAGGCTCAGAGCTCCCCAGTGCATCACAGCTGTGATCTCCCAGCACAGAAGGACACAGAGATGGTGCAATTCATCTCTGTTATCTTTTCTGAAGGGATCTGCCTCCTTCTGGACCTCTCTGTCCTCTCTGATTCCTTGTCCTCCCAGGAAGTCAGTCCAGAGAGGAAGTTCCAGACTTGAGGACAGATTTTACAGCTGTGGGAAACTGAAAGAAGGAAGATTTAGGAAAGGGAATTTCTGAAAGTGGTGACCAAAGGGAGAATGGCCTTGTCTTAGAGCTGCCACATCTCTCTTCTTCCCCGTGGAGGGATGCTTGCAATAATGTTAACATGAACAATTTTCATGCTAGGATCAAGTTCATTGGAAGTAGCAGTTTGGGGCAATTTTTGACAATTTTGCCTGAAACGTGCAGTGTGCATGCAGAGAGCCACGGGCACATGGCTCTGCCGTTCCTGATTAAGAAATTCTGCTCCATTACTTCAGAATATTTTATCTGATTAGTATTTTGTAAGCACAGATTTTCATAGTTGTCAAAGCACTTGGGCTATTAATAATAAATAGATCTAAATAGAATCCTTTGACTTTCACTGCTGCATCTTTCCAGTGCACTTATGAAATAGGGAAATTTATTCCTTCCGTTATCCCTGTTTTCCCAGAGAGCTGTCCTGGGCTGTAGGAAATTCCATCTTCCAGATTCCCAATGTCAGTCACAGGAGTCCCAGATTTAGGAATTGCCTGTTTCCTTCCTTTCTGTGCCCTAATGCTGTTTTCCTGCAGGAGCAGGCCATCGAGGTGCTGACTCGCTCCAGCCTGGAAGTGGAGCTGGCAGCGAAGGAGCGCGAGATCGCGCAGCTCGTCGAGGATGTCCAGAGGCTCCAGGGCAGCCTCACCAAGCTGAGGGAGAACTCCAGCAGCCAAATCTCCCAGCTGGAGCAGCAGCTGACAGCCAAGAACAGCACACTCAAAGTAAGGCTTGGTTCTGCCCAAGGGATGTCTCAGAGATGATGATATTGGGGGTTCCTGTGGTCCTGAGCCATTGGATTCTCCAGGGTGTGGCTGAGTTCTGGTTTCTGTGGCATTCATGGAATCACAGAATGGTTTGAGTTAGAAGGGACCCTCAAACCCATCCCATTCCACCTCCCCTGGATGTATTGTTTTTAAGGGATCACAGGTTTTTTAAGTTCTAAATGGCCCAATCCTTACTGTTTTGAAATGTGTTTTTACAGGACAAGGCTACCTTTGGAATTAAAATCACCACCAAACCCCAACATGCATTGAGCATAGATATCTAATGAAACAGTTGAGCTGAAAAAGCACAGAAAATTCCTCTTAGATTTTCAAACTGTTAATTCCCATTCCAGTTATACATATTGAAGATTTTGCAAGGAATTGGTTTATCTTTCAATGTCCCTGCTACCCCCTCCAGTTCTCTCCACTGGAAATTGGTAGTATATCATTTAGGGCATAGGAACAAGTAAAATCAGGACATGGAGAAGGCTTTTATATAAAAACCATTTAATTATTTAAATTTTATTTATTTATTTTTATTACCGATAACCATTTACATGTTTTTAACTGTGTATTTGCTGCACAATAATTCCCATTTATAATTAGCAGTCTAGCCCTTTACTCATTTGCATAGGAGCAGCACTGCACTGGAACCAGAAGGAATAGCTAAGAATTCTCTGAATGACCCTTTTACCTCTCTCTTGGGCAGTTTCACTTTCCCTGTGCAGAGCCCACACAGTTCTGATCTCTGAGTGAGCATGAGAAATGTTTCCTGACGTGGGGTATGAATCAGTTTCCTGTAATTCCTGTCTCCTTCATTGTTCCACCATCTATGAGCTCCAAAGTGTAAACAAGATAAATTTATCTATTCCATTAAAGACTTGGTAGTTCTGCAGGTTTGATAGTCTGAGAGTTTTCTGAGAGCAGGAGGCTGATAGTTCCCACTCAGCTCTGACTGTGGCGTGGGCAGCTTTGCTCTATCAGAATGATTTAATGTTCAATTGAAATTCTTACAAATTGCTCTAATTCTGACATTTTTTAGCAGTTACTGGTTTTGCTGTGGTGGAGCATAATTCACATGGAGAGAGACCTGTTAGGAATGAAAGCTCAAGTGTTGCAGTCAGTGTTTTCTGCATGCTTTAAGCTAGCTTTGCAGAATTTTTATGAAAATTCAGTGGAGCAAAGGACACCTATTATGTAACTCCATTGACAGTATCAGTCTCTGCCCACCTGTCACCATGTGGGCACCACTTTTATTGGGGGAGAAAGGAGCTGCCCTGGTTTTGAGGGACACATGCTGCTGGCTACACCCATGTTCAGGGGATTTTTTTATTTTACGTTTTCATAAAGCCTGATAGAATATATCTTGAATCCTTGCACTTGACAGATTTTCTTGGAATAAAGCATGCTCCTGGTGAGGTCAGTATTAGTTTAGCCATTAACTTCAAAGGGAGTAGGATCATAGAAATGACAGAGCAAGTCTTTGATTTTCATTTCAGTAATCTCCTTCCATTTTCTCATAGCCTTGCCTGGCTAATGCTCTGTATTTAGCTTTCTGTTGATAGTGGCTGATGTAGTGCCTCTATTGATAAAGTTTTAGTCATTTCAACCCTCTTTAACCTTATTTGTTGCAAGTATAAAAATATTTCAAAATACTTACTTTTACCCCAAAGTGCTGGGAAAGCCTGTGCCAGGCCCAGGTTGTACAAAGCACCAAATCTCAGTGATGATGTGCTGATCTCCTGTTTGGTTATGGAGGAATTGCTTCTGAAATAACAGAGATTTTAATGGTTGCCTCCACAGAAAACAACTCACAGTTTCACAAATTAAAGCAATGTTCTCAACCTCTATCTTGGGGGAATTGTTTAATACTCTATGACTTAATGAAACAATACAGAAATACTTTCAAAATTATTGCTTCTTTATCTTCATCTGATCTAATAATCAAAACATGTCCTCTAGTAACAAGACTTTTCTCACTCTAATTGTATTAACCCTTTGTGGCTGGGTGCTAGAATGTCTCTGCTACCCAGTTAAAATTCAGTAACGTGATTTGATCACTCTAAACTGAACTACAATGTTAATCTAATGGTTATTGAGATGTTTTAAGCCCCTCAATACTGCCCCTGCTATTTACCTATGCCAGTTCAGTTAATAATACAGTAGTGATTGTATTTTCTAAAAACATGAGGAGGGACCCAATCTCTGCATGCTCTGACGTGGGTTTATTCACACCACAGATGCAAGATGATTCTTTAACATGGGATATTTGCAAATTTAATGTGCAGAAAAGCCACCAGTCCATTCCTTCTGCCCTCTGGCTCCTGCATTTTTGTGTGTTGGAGGTCGTTGGAATACATTTTGTCTGAATTAACCAGGTTGATATTTAGTGCAAGATATTAGTTCCTCCAGATTGTCTCACAGCTTGAACCTTTGTTATCCCATGTTCTGTGCATTTTACAGGGTTCTTGGAGAAAATTACCATACTAATACATTTTAAAACAGTCATTGACTGGGAAGATGCCAAGTGCCTAAATGTTCTGTTTCTGCACAGGCACTGCATCCTCAGTTGTTAGTTTATATTGTTTAGTAAAGTAGATGTTTAGGTGCAGATTTTCCATGGCAACAATCTCTGTATTAGGTACTTGGGAATGATGGATGTGTGTGTTTTTTGTACAACCCAAAGTAAAATATTGCTGGTTGTCATTCTGCTGTAGCAAGTACCTGAGAATCCAAAACAGCTGCATTTTGTCAATATCTCTTTTTTCTCTTTATTTTTCTACCTGTGTTTTTGTACCAGAAATACTCTATCAGGGTATAGCACTTCCCTGCACAGAATTACATTTAATATAGATTTCATTAAAATGGGAGTCATTAGCTTTTCTGTGGTTTATCTCTGTTTCTACAAAAGGCTGTTTTCTTAGCATACCCTTGCATAAGTAACATATTAATCCAGGGTATTGCTTGTTTTAAATGTCTTCTGGTCCTTTTTGTACTGAGAACTGGTATAAATTGCCAGTTATGCCTGCTTTAAAAGCTCCTCTACTCCAGACCCAAAATGTTACCAGCCACAGAGCTGAGGAAAGGGTGAATTGCAGTGGATTTGCAGAGACAGAAGGACAAAGTGACAAGACCAAGGAGAGCAGAAGGATGTCTTGGGGTTTGGCAGGTGCTCCCATTGCTTGTGACCACTTGGAAAACTCTCAGCTGTGATGCTGAGTCTCCCCCCAGTACCAAGGGCTCTCTGGCTCACTGGTTTCATGTAAAGATCCCTCTCCAGCCTGACCTGATGAGCTAAAAATTCCACCTGGATGTCTTGTTGAAGTCACTCTGTTTTGCTCAGTGTTGAGCTGCAGCTTGAAAAGCTGCTTGAATTCGTGGCCTGTTGTGGCTGACCCTCCTCAAAATGTGAGACCTCAGGCCTTGGGACTATGTAGTACATTTCCATAATGAGATTTCAACATGTGTTGTAAATTATCAAAACCTCCAATGTCTTTATTATTTGTAGGATTTTCCTGGTCACATCAACCAGTATTTTCCTGAAGTACTGTGTCTGCTATCTAAAGCAAAGCCAGTGCTTCCTATAGTTCCAGACTGGAATTTGGAAAGGCAGGACATGCCAGAAGAAACTACTAGAACTTGCCCTGTATTTCTTCCAGGTGAAAGAAAAAAAAAAAGGTTGTCGCTAAAACAGACACTTCATTTTTATTTTTAACACAACTGGAATGAGTGCACAACCACTGATGACAAAAGACACGAGACCTTTTTAAGAGGCCACTCGTTCCATCAGTGTCCCAGAGAGTGCAAATTCCACACTGAGCAGCAGTTCCTGGGATCCATTAAGAGCTGCTCGTTGAGCCTGGCTGTTCCTGCAGGAGATTCCTCTCTCAGCAGTGCTGAGGATGCTGGGCTGTGGTGGCAAACAGCAGGAACAGGGCCTTGAGAGGGCTGTGGATTGGTAACGTGGCTGTCCACTTTGTCACTGCTCCTTAAGAGCCGTGCTGATGGCAGGGCAGACGTGCCAGCAGTGTGAGAGCTGCAGAGGGCTGCGTAGGAAATCCTTTAAAAGTGGCAGAATAGCTGGAGGTCCCACAAAGCCCCACCATGCTGCTGTTGGCTTCTGAAGAAGCCTCATTTAAATTACTGAGATGACTCAATCCACTGAGTCAATTTGCTGTCCTGTGGGTACTGTGCTGCATCATTTTGGGGTTTGTACAGCTCTGTGATACCCACACACTGACTTAGTAGGGAAGACAGCACAGGGAACAGGTTCCCAGTTCTGTTTTCCCAGCCCTGCCTCCATGCCCCATAGCTGGGCTGCTGCACAGCTGTGTGGGGCTGCATTTTAAACAGCTTTGCTAAAATTATCCAAGTTCCCAGCAGCCCTCCCCTGCCCTCCTCCTGCATCCAAAGAGCAGCCCCAGAGTGGGTGCAGGACCTTGAATTCCCTTCTTCCCTGAAGGCAGCCTCTCCTGGACATAAAGTCCTATTTTTCTTTTTCATGTCATATATTCCTTTCCTTTTCAAAGTAGATTCTCTGTCTTTGAGGTGATACGTCCTTGTGTTATTTCTGTTTCCCGTGACCTTTGGGATTCTGTGCCAATTTTAACACCAAAAATGAACTGAAGCAGAGTTAGCCTGGGTTTATCCATGGAAGCTGCAAGCCAGTTAAGTTCTGTTCTTTGCTTAGATCAGGTGTGCCTGCACTAAGCAAAGAAATTTTTGAAATGAATGTGGCTTCTGCAAGCAATGTAACTGCATCAATTATGTATCAATATGTTTTAGGCCTCCTGAAGCATTTACCCCGTAGTGATGAGCACTTTGTTGGGAGCTGGGTAAGGTCCAAGTGTGTGGCATTGCGTTCTGGATCGTGGCAGTTTGGGGCATCCTTTGGGGCATCCTCGCAGCCAGGAGAAGCCTTTGAGGCCACCCTGGGTGGGGCAGAGCAGGAGGAGCTGCTGGGGTGGCCTCAGTGCTCCCTCTCTGGTTACTGCAGTCAGCAGTGCTGTAAAACCTCTGGTTCAGCTGTTCTGTGTGGGCACGAGGTGCTGTAGGAGCCTTCCAAGCCTAAGGCATTCCAGTCAACAACAGCTTCTTCACTCTGCTCTTTTTATCATGTAGATAAGGTTATCAAGAACTGTCCTATTAAGAATACAGCATGTGCCAAAGCATCCTGCTTGTTTACTCAATCTCCCTGAAAATTTCTGCTGCCCCATTTTTTTTTTTTAATATCTTCATCCCCGATCTCTTCCCTGAGCACATGACAGTGACATTGCAAACAGCCAAATTGGGACCCACTGAATTCTGTCATGCTTGGCACTCTGTAAACAAAGGATGAGCGAGGTATAATTGTGTTTACGTTTAATTGGTTATAGTTTGTTTTCTAATATATGTAAATTAGGTATGAGTCATTAACCCTCACTTGTGCGCTGCTGTATATATGGAATAATTTGAAGATGATTTTCAAAGCCTGCAGGAAAAAAACAATGTAAATAATTAAATCCATGTTCTCTCTTTTAAAGCAACTGGAAGAAAAACTGAAAGGACAGGCTGATTATGAAGAGGTTAAGAAAGAATTAAAGTAAGTGTTAAATGCTTACATAATTTTTTCACAAACTCTGGTTGAACAGTGCTTGTTAAATGAAGCCACAAATCTGTGTTCTTGGAACAATAAAGAATTCAGTCAAAACCACAAAGACAAGGAAATTGGGAATATTGGCAGAAATTGCATCCAGAGCCAGTGGAACTGCTATATCTGAGAGTGCTCCTTTTTGTTGCAGCAGAGGATCACAATAGCAAATAAAACACGTCCATGAAGAAAAGCCACTAAAACTATTGTCCACAAAGGGAAAAAAGTTTCAGAATCTGTGGTGTTTTAGGTGGACCACTATTTAAAAGTCTCCAGCCAACAGCTGAGGGTAATGTGGACCAAAAATGACATGCAGAGCCTTTGGCCACGGTACCTTTGCTCTGCTCCTGCCAGCCAGTGCTCAGCACTTGCCAGTTTAATGCTGGGCTTGTTTCACTGTATATTTTTGCTAATATATTGTGGTTTTAAACTAAAGCCACAAACAGCCTCTTCCTATTTCAAGGCATTTTCTTAAGAGACTTAAAAGAGCCTCATTTTAAACTATAACAAGATAAGCTGTCAGATTCAGAAGAGAACTTTTCTGACTGGAAATATGTTTAGTGTCAAGGTTTAAATAACTGCGAGAAACTCCCATCTCTTCTTTCATCATTCTGGCATTTCTGTGTGTGTTTTAAAAAGGCTGAAATAACCCATTCCCTGGTTTAATGAGGTATTTCAGATGAGGCTGGTAGTCATGTGCTTTTGTTTACACGTCCCTGGAGAATATGGAAAGCAGATTTGGATTTGCAAACCCCACAACTGCCCAGCCTCTGGTGCTGATTTATTCAAGCCACACTGGCTGAGGTTCTGGTTCACCACCAGCTGCAGCACACCCTGATGTAGGGGTATAATTTTCACTGGAATTAAATGAATTGACCATTTATTTGGTCATTTTACCTGATTATTACCTGGGCTCAAAATAGCATCATCATTTAGTGATTAGGGGTAAATACATCCACGTCCTGTCCTGAGTTAAGGGAGCAGCTTCAGGTTTTAGCCAGTTTATGTCCTCACATGTAAAGCAGTGAATGGGAAAAAAGCCACAACCTTCCAGCTTCTTGCATTAGATATTAAATGTAAATGTGCTGAAACAAGAAATGAGTTTTGAATCCTACCTGCTTTAATGCAAAGGTTTAATACAACAGGACCAGGACTTTAAAGCCAGACTTAAAAGTGCCAAGAACCCAATCTACTCATTGAATATAATCATTTACTTTGAATTTATACTTTAAATACAAACCCTGTATTCCTGGTGATAACACCAATATTTTAATTTTTTTTTTTTTTACAACACTAACTTACATGAGGGCAGGGGTGTAAAGGCAGATCAGAGAAGCTGTGACACAGGAGGCTTCATATGGTGCTTCTGCTCAGGATAAGCCTGCAGTGAAATAAATGGGAGACTCTGCTGGAAGTGGCCCTGGTTAGGTGCCAATAAATTAACCCTGTTTTCCCAGTTGTTCCAGTTTTTATATCCCTAATTTGTGGATTGATAGCTGGCTTGTAAGGGCCCTGGGGCCCATCACCATCCTGTGGGATGGTCTGAGGGTTGAGAGCACTGAGGATGTTTGCAATGCTGCATCCTCCAAGCAGCTGCTTCACACCATTCCCATGCTCCATCTAGTCCAGAAGGTGTGCTGAAGGCTCAGTGTGCATTCCCTGGCAGTGGCAGTCTGATCTGAAGTGAAACTTGCTGTAAATGAGGCTGGGAGAAGTCTGTAAATCTGGAGCCCTCACACTGAATCTTGCTGCACCTGCCTTGTGCCCTGGAACACTGACAGAAATGAACTGCTCATAACATTTGCACCTAGAGAAAAGAGACCTTGTCAGTACAGCAGGACAGAATAGAATGAATTTTTTAGGTGTTTTGGCACCAGTGTATTTTCCTTAACCCTTCCTGGGATGTTAGAGGCGTGCTGGGCTGAGGGTCTCAATATCAGCCAACTTCTACTTGGTAGGAACTTAGGTGGGCCCATGTCAAGATCTGGGATGGGAGGATTCTTCACTTTCTGCCTTGGCTTTTGTGCCCAATGGCTTCTAAACCTATTTTTGAGATCTGACAGCTCTCTGTGTGCCTTCAGTTCCCTCTCAAGTAGCACGACACGCTGACCCTGCTGCCTTTGCAGTCGGGATCAGACGAATAGAAAGTCGAGCTGTCCCAATGCACACTTTGCTTTACACTCACATCTTTCAAGTCTTCTTAGATGTGCAGATTCAAGTCACAAGATCATTTCTTTAGAAAGCAGGTAACTGATCTTGAGCCACAGATTGAGTCAAGATCTCATGGGCAAAGATATTCCTGGAATCCAAAGAAGAAATGTTGTGCTTCCTCATATTCCTGAGGAGAATGTGTCTTTTGTGACACATTTGGAGAGTCATTTTTGACATGTTTAACTTTTACATTCTTCTAAAAATGAGCCTGCTGGAGTGAATATTCCTCTTAGGGCAATTAGAGGTGCCATCAGCTTGATTTTTAGTATATTTTGTATTTCAACTGTATAGGAAATTACCTGTAAAATTGTCAGAAAGTTAATTCAGTTAGCAAAGAATCCCCTTCAGGTAGGCAGAGGTCAGTAGGTTTCCAGCCAAGGTTTGAATACACATTGCCTGCACCAATCTCACTGGAAACACAGCTGCTGCAAGGCTCAGGATCCTTCCTGAAGGTCCCAGCTGGCAGAAGGTGCTCAGAACCAAAATGCACCAGCCTGTGCAAGGAGAGGGATGACAGGGTCAGGGCTTTAGAGGCAGATTTTTGGTGTGGAGAACCAAATATAACCATAACCAGGTTTATGCTTCCAACCATTGTCAGCCTGGTTCTGGGGGCAGCACTCACATCTGCTCCTTTGGGAGAGAGCAGCTTTTTCTGGTTTAGCCTCATCCAGGAGGAAGGAAGGTGTTTGGAATGCTGCTGGATTGCTCCACATGGCAAACCCACGTGTGGTAAGTGGGGTCACAACTTGTGTGAGCTGAAATGGGATTTCCCATGGGATGTTTGCCATGTGATGATTTACTGTTCAAACTGGGTTTGAAATTCAAATCAGTCTCCTCATTTGGGCATCATGAGGATGTGCATTAGGACTGGCTGTCCATGCAGAGGCCATTCCCTGCAGAATTCATGGGAACAGAGACCTGGCTGAGGTTTTCCCTGGATGAGTCTCTGTGCATTTATCTCCCCCAGCACCTTGGAGTCCTGGGATGCAGAGCTGTGCCTAGAAACACTTTGGCTTTTGGGGATTTGCCACCTGAGTCACACACCTGTGATGTCAAAGTGATGTCAGGGTCTGTGAGAACTCGAGCCATTAGTCCACATCCTGTCCCCTTGACTGGCACAAGTCCACTGATAGCACAAAAGAGTTGGTTTTGCACGTGGCTGAGCTGTTGTGCCCACACAGAGTCTTCACAACATCACTTTGTGTGCTGTGTATGGGGTGATGGCTCCACCCTACAGCCAGGCAAGAGGTGACACTGAGTGATGCCATGTAATGAAGGTGATTGCCAGAAATTTGTGCTTTCATTAATTATTACATTTTAGGGATGCCTGTCAGAATTAACCCTGTGTGCAATGAATGTGCACAGATGCAAGATACATGAGGTCTCTTTCTCAGAATTGATTTTTTCCCCCTTGGGTTTGCTATGACTTTGAGTGATCTTGAATGGCCCAGAGACCTGATTTCCAGAGTGTCACTTAATGCACATCCAGCTCTGGATTAATCCAGGGACAGGTTCAGGCAGTTAATGGGTGCCTGGCTAACTCCTCATGGCATCCAGAATACTGGACTTCTGCCTTTTTTTCCTCTGTTTCCACATTTCATGGAATCACTGAATGTTTTGGGCTGGAAGGACCTTAAAGCTCATCCAGTGCCACCTCCTGCCATGGCCAGGGACACCTTCACTACTCCAAGCTCTATCCAGCCTGGCCTTGGACACTTCCAGAGATCCAGGGGCAATTCCAAAACCTTTAATACATGATCCACAGCTTTTAATACAGTTTAATACGTGATTAACCAGATTGTTCCTGCTCACAGAGTTCTTGGTGCTTTATACATGACAAATGCTGTATAAACACCATCTATATGTGTTTATGTGTTTTTCTTCACCAAATGAATGTTGTCTTTGTACACTAAGAAGCTGAAATCATTTATTGCTTCAGTCTGAGGAAGTTCATGTCCTGCCTGCATCAGGCTGGTTTTAAAAAAATTATCCAACAAAGTGCAGTAATAAGTCTGGACTCCTGTAAGATTCTGGTTTGCCAGATGACACAGCTCTGACTGAGAGCCTCTGAAGGGAGACGTCCTCTGACCGCTCGCTATTTGTATAAAATATTGACAATGAGGCTATCAGATTCTTCTCCTAATGTACTTATAAATATTTGGATCTTTCATATTTCTTAAGAAATATTGGGCCATTTTGTCTTCCCTTTGCCATAGAATGAAGGGGTTATTAAAATGAAAAACTGCCTTTTAGCCTGTAGTGCCTTGGTTGGGAGGATTATTTGTGCATATTTTCCTTGCTGGTGAGCTGGTGTATATTCTGTAAGTGCTGTACTGTGGTGGTGATTCCCCTCTTTTGCTGCTTTGCTACAACTTCCTCATTCCCTTCCAGCTTCACAGATAAATTTATATTGTTTCTGACAGCTTAAAATGTTATATCCTTATTAACCTTTAAATTTACACTTTAAACTGGCCTGGTGGGATTGCATATGGAATGATTTAGATGATGCTTGAGAAAATTTTCTTATCCAATAACTGGTTTGAGGAGTTATTCTGTATTCATTAGGAGATTGTGTTACTGCAAGGAAAGTTGTCATCACTTGTAGTGTTGCTGGAGAACAGGACACGATCATGTTAATGCTCATTAGTGGAGTTGTTATGAAAAGAAGAAATAGAAAATAATTTCTTTTTTCTGCCCTCCACAGTATATTGAAATCCATGGAGTTTGCACCATCTGAAAGCTCTGGTGCGCAGGTACTGAACTTACTTCTGTTTTCTTACTTATTTAACAGCTCAGTTGATTAACAAAAATTTTGTCTTGCAATTCCTTGTTGTTGACATCGACAGTTTCCTGTTGATGTTGAGGCTTCCATCCTTGTTTTTCCTGATATTTTCTTATGTAAAAAGCTGAACTGGACTTTTTTTTTTTTTTTTCTGCGTGTTAATTTCATTTAAGTGGTCAAGGACAAAGTGACATTTCAGCTGTGCTGGAGTGGGTAAACCAGAATGTTGTGAAGTTGAGTCATTTAAAGATACTGGAGTTGGTGGACAGGCAGCACAGTGTGCAAGGACTTCAGCATTTTTAAGTATTTGTTAGCCTTGAAAATTTCTTTTCACAAAAGAAAACAAACCTTGGAGTACTGAGAAAGCTTTGCTGTTCCAGCAAATTAATCTTACTTCAGTTTAAAGGTTATGAATTAAATTCCTGTTTCTGAAATCCAAACTGAATATCGATATGTTGAAATTAATTTTCAATGGGATTTTTAATGACCAAGGGTTAGATATTTGGATGAGAGTAAATAGCATATTTCTCTGACTGATGTTATTTTGAACAAACTGTTTCTGCTGAAATGCAGCATGTCAAGGAAATGCTTAGCTTGGGTCAGTTGACCTAGAAGGAATAATATAATCTTAACTCCTGTTTTAATCAGATTAAAAGAAGTCTACGGCTTTTAAACTGAAAGCGTGCCAGGACCATTTAAAAATAAGTAAGATTAAGAAAATGTTCTGTTACACATCTCAAAATAATGCAGAATTAGTGAATGATTTACAGTGAAAATTTAACAGTGACTCTCTTCCATGGCTCCCACCAGAGCCTGGAGTGATTCCTGCTGATCTGTGCCCAGCAAATTCCCTCGCTGCCCTCAGAGACCAGTCAAGCACTTGGTTTTTTTTAATTTTTTTTCCCTCTGAAATCCTTTTTAGTGCCTGAGTGAGATTCTCAATGCTTTGAGAAACAAACCTCCCCCTTTGGTTTCCTTTAGGATGCATCCAAGCCGCTGGAGGTGCTGCTGCTGGAGAAGAACCGCTCGCTGCAGTCGGAGAACGCCACGCTGCGCATCACCAACAGCGACCTGAGCGGTAGGTCCACCCAAATTTTGGCTCTCGTGGGTGCCTCTGCTGTCCTGTGATGGGAGGGAGGGCTGAGTGAGAGCTGAGTGTCTGAGCTAATGCATGGCAGGAGGATTAAGAAGCAACAGGAACACTGCGTAACGTTGGATTTCTGTAGTTTTATAGGCTGGATAATGAATTAAAAGTTAGAGAGTGTATAAAGGTGGAGGAAGAGGATTACAGGCTGTACCAGTGTTTGAGGCTGTCTTCTGTTTTGGGAACAAATCCATCTCTTTCCCCCACACACAGTGTTATGCAAAAGGTTTGCATGTAGATCACAGTGTCCCTGTCTGATACACTTGGATATACCACCAGCAGGTCAGTTTGGGAAAGCAAAATCCTTTCTTCCCAGCGAAGTGTGTTTGCTGTTTGGCTTTCCTAATGTGGGCTTTTACATCTTGTGTGCACATTTTTTAAATGGCAAGTCATGGAATTTCCAGATTCTTGAATGATGGTTTTTGCAGCTGGAAGAAAGTTAAAAGTTGCCACTGGCCCTGGGTTTACTGAATTCTGAAGCGTTTTATGACTTTTAACTGAGTGATCTTGGTGCATCCACCTAATGGTTATTCCTTTATTCAAATTGGTTTGTTCCAAAATGTAAATGTTTGCTGCATTTGGGTTCAGTCAGGTCCAATGAGTCATATCTTGAATGAGAGACAACAGAGAGACTTGCTGTCTGTAACTGGATTTATTTAACTGTATCACTGCACTTCATGTAACTGTTCTAGTGTTAATGTCTGTAAGGGGGATTCTCCAGGCTGCAACATACAAGAAAGGTGCAAACATGAAATGCATGTTGTTTGTTTTGGGGGCCTTGTTTGGCTTAAAAATTTTCAATCATGGAAAAAAAAAATTAAAAATAAAAATTTAAAAAAAAAAAAAGAAAAAAAAAACCCAACAAATAAAAACGAACCAAAACCAAACAAAACCAAAACTCCCACCGCCACTCCATTGGCCCGTGTCAATCTGCACTTTTTCCCTTTGCGGGGCAAACTTTGCATTTTTTTATCTTGGTTTTTCCCTCTTTGACCCCCCATAATGCATTATGTTTGACCTTCCTTGTAGGGTCAGCCAGGAGAAAAGGGAAAGACCAGCCTGAGAGTCAGCGTCCTGCAACCTTGCCGGCCTCCCCTCCTTCCCAGTTGCTCCGCAACGCGGGGGAGCAGGCTTCCAATACTAATGGTACACACCAGTTCTCACCAACGGGTTTAAGTCAAGACTTTTTCAGCTCATCCCTGGCGAGCCCCAGCTTACCCCTGGCCTCCACAGGAAAATTTGCACTAAACTCTCTCCTCCAGCGACAGCTAATGCAGTCCTTCTACTCCAAGGCAATGCAGGAAGCAGGAAGCACAAGCATGATTTTTCCAACAGGTCCATACAGCACAAACTCCATATCTTCCCAAAGTCCATTACAACAAAGCCCGGATGTAAATGGCATGGCCCCATCTCCCAGCCAGTCAGAAAGTGCTGGGAGCATCTCCGAAGGCGAGGAGATAGACACGGCCGAAATTGCACGTCAGGTGAAAGAGCAGTTGATCAAGCACAATATTGGACAGCGGATATTTGGACATTATGTGTTGGGACTGTCACAAGGGTCTGTGAGTGAGATCCTGGCCCGGCCAAAGCCATGGAATAAACTGACTGTGAGAGGCAAGGAGCCATTTCATAAGATGAAGCAGTTCCTGTCGGACGAGCAGAACATCCTGGCTCTTCGCAGCATCCAGGGCAGACAAAGAGGTAAGAGCTCCCCAGCCCCCTGCTCCTCTTAGTTCCAAACATTCCAAACCAGGAGCTTCTCCATCCGGGGCTGTTTGTGCGCTGCTGCTGCTGCTGTCACCCAGGTCAGGTGCCAGGTGCAGCAAGTTCAGCTCTGCAGCACTCAGGCAGGTTCGTATCTGTGCTTACGCTTTTTTTAGCCGCTGGTTGGTGCCTGTCAGCAGGAGTGAGCAGCAGGGACACTCACAGCCCTCTCTGCCCAACCCCTCCGTGCCACAGCTAAACACGGAGCCAAAAGGGTCAGCAGCTACTCGGGGTACCAGCCCTCAGAAATACTTGGGGGTTTTTATTGGAGGTTATTTACTGATACCAGGCTTTTGTTGTGTCTTGTGTGATTATGTTTTTTCCCCAAAGTGTTCTGGCAAAATAGGGTAGGTGATGCATGAGATGAGTAATTAAAACACAATCCCAGTTTAAAGCAGCTTTGCATATTTAAGGCAGCGATTTTAAGAAGTAACATGCATTTCATTGTGATTCATCTTAAGGCTGAGATTTACATTTAGAGAAACTGAAAAGTAAGTTGTTTACAGTCAAGAAATATTGGAAAGGACAGGCAGGGTTTTCCTAGATTTTGTTTAATTGGAAGCACACACTGTTAGATTTATAATCTGTTCTTCCTTTTGATGATTGTACTTGAGGGGATTATCTGCCCATCTTTAACCTCTTCATTTTTGGTATCTCTAGACATTTATTTATATCTGTCTAATCTCCTTTCCGAACATAGCTGTAATCTTTATTAACAAATCAGCCAGCCTTGCTTCTTCCCAAGTAGCCAGTTCCTCCTGCTCAGGGGCCTGAGGGGCCAAGAGAGCTCAGGGCCAGGCTGCCAGCTCCTCATGTCACACAGCCCGTGATGTCAGAGCAACCATCCCCTGATTGTTTTGTTCTTACCAAACTTGTTTTTCAACAGAGAATCCAGGCCAGAACCTGAACAGACTATTTCAGGAAGTACCGAAACGAAGAAATGGGTCTGAAGGTACGTCACAGGCAGGTGTTTTTCTTTGCAGTCAATCCCTAGGAAGTGGAGTGTGCTTTAGCTGTGTGTTTCCTTAAAACTGTGCAGTTTGATTCTGGCCTGGAATCTGATAGAAAAACAGACAGTAAGTATAAAACAAACCATGGGTTAGATGAACACTTTGCTTTTTCTAATTCTGCTGCTGCTGTACTAACATAACCCTGTTTGGATAGTTCTTCCACTCCCATCCCCCCTGCAAAACAGATAAAGAGAGAGAAGAGATGGAAGTGGCTTTATAAAGTCATCAGATCTATTGAAATGCTCTCTTTGCTATTTTTATGGTTTTGGAGGGAGAAAGTTGCACAGTTATAACATCAATTGCATACTGCTTCTGCTCTAGGTTTGCTTCTTTCTTCTCAGGGGGCTTATGCTGACAAATTCCACTTTAGTACACTGCTAAATTGGTGTGATGCTTAGTTCAGTATTATATATGAAAAAGACATCAAGATAAGTGAACATCAGATCCATAAATTATCACTGAACAGAATGTCTGCACATTTTTGTTATAGATTAGTTCCAGAAATTTTCTTTTAGTGAGACCAGAAAGAAGTAAAAACAAAGGCAGGTACATCTAAAGTTTGTAGTTATTTTGACTCCAGTCACAAATTACCTCAATTGCTTACAAACAATAATCTCGTAATGGAAAATGCAGTTAAGTGCAGTAGCACTCACAGTTTTCCCTCCTTTTCTTCCCCTTAGAGGTTAAAAAACAAACAAAACAAAAAAAAAAAGGCAAAACCAAACAACCAAGTAATAGCTCTTAGCTGGAGAGTACTTCAAATGATATCTGCGTTTAAATGACTCTTTCTCTTAATGTATTAACCTCTAGAAAGTTAAAAATTATTTTTATCTAGTTACTTTTTAATTCTGTTTTGGGCTGAATGTATACTCATCATGCTTTGCCTAGCAGCTGATGCCATTTTTAAGTTGATTCCTGGGCTTATTTTTTTAGCTTTCTTCCTTTCCCCTCCAGTTCTTTTCCCTTCTGTTTCCTCTTCCCCTCAAAAAAAAAAAAAAAAGAAAAAAAAAAAGAAAAAAGAATAGATCTATATATGTTACCATAGAAAAGGAATATATGACCACGTAGTTCTTCCTCTGGAGTTCTCACCATTCTGGGGCAGCTAGAGACAGGCACAATGAGGATATTTTGCTTTTATTATGTTAAGTACTTTTTTTGTGTGGTGTCAATGTTGATAAAGGTCCTGTGCAAGTTGTCCTCAGGTTGTGCTGGCCATGTATCACATACAGTGTGTGTTTGTGTTACAAAGACAGCCAAATAAGAGTTTTCCTGGTGTCATTAGTTGTGTTTTCCTCCCCAGGTAACATAACCACGCGAATCCGAACCGCAGAGTCTGGCTCTGATGAAGCCATCAAATCCATTCTCGAACAAGCCAAAAGGGAGCTGCAAGTACAGAAAACAGGTACGGCCTCATTTTGTCTCTGCCTGCTTTTACTGCAGAATTTAATTAAAACAATTGCCATGAGCTTTCTGGTCAGTTAATTATATTCTTAAAAGCTTCAGAGTAGGTTTGAAGAGTTTTTTGGAGATTTTTATTGTTATTTAGTGGAGTTGTTTCTGTCTCTGAGATGTCCCAAGTTAAGGTCGCACGTGTCCCGGCGTGGTGAGGTCTCTGCTCTCCCTGCTCCCTGTGGGATTTCTGAACACCTTTATCCCTGTGATAAAGAGAGCTCTGAGCTCCTGGCTGCCCTCCAAACCTGCAGGAGTCACTGAGGGGAACCTACAGAATCCTTTCTCCTCCCAGTTTGCTCCTTGGAAAGGGAGCAGGTCCTGCTTTCTCTTCCATTCTTCTCACTCAGGCCCCAGGGACACAGCTGCATGGGAGAGGGGCTGGATGGATTTGTTGGGGTGGAGGTCACACTCCAGGCAGCAATTACCAGTGCCAGCACCATGGTGCATCCTGTACTCATACAGGCACACTCAGTCCTGACTCTTAGATTACTTTATTTTTGGTTACAGAACGTATTCAGTGAATGAACTGGCAAATCCAAAACACATTCCCTTTCCCAAAAAATCCCTCTTAGCCTGAAATAAGTCTAATTTCTCATTATATGCTGTCATGTAATTAACATTTCTGTCTAGTCCATGGCCCTCTCAGTTTTAAGAATTCCCAGTAGCACTCTTGGGCTGAAGTAGAAATTACTGTGCAATACTTCTGTTTCATTTTTAAAAATAAATACTGATTTACAGTTTTGGATAGTTGTCTTTCAAATGAAAACTAAGTTAATCTCATGGCAGAATATAAAACACTAGTTAATATATTATCTAAATAATATGACTTTATGCAGGAAATTATTACATAGAGAGCTTTGTGTATGAAACTGCAAGAATGTTACTCAGTAGCATGTTTCATCTGAGAGTCTCAGACTTCCTTTCAAATATTAATTTGGCCTCAAAACTCCCTGTGAAACCAGCAGATAAAACAGCAGAGATAGTCTCACTGTCTTTTTTTCCTATTTCTTAGCTTTTCATGTATTTTGCAGTGTGTGACAGGAAGGAATGTAGGGAGGCAAATTCAGAAATGCATTCAGATGAGCTTTAGTATTACTGGAGCCATACACAGCGTGTTGGAAATCTTATTTCACTTTGGTGCCACTCCTTGCAGTGTGGGGTTCCCTGCTCCAACCTGGTGCTTCACTGCCTGTTCTCTGCAGAGCAGCTTTCAGAGGAACTGGTTTCCAAGCACTGGGGACCTCAGTGGAGACTGAAATAGAAGCAGATGCCATTGCAAAACCTCCTGGCTTTGCAGAGATAATTCCCCACCCACGTTCCAGTCTCTGCTCATCCCTGACTGCTGCAGCACAGCCACTCAAACCCTGGTTCCCCACTGGAATGCTGCATTTGGGGGTTATCTCTGCTGAAAGCACCTGTGACTCCATCCTAGAGCTTCAGATAAAGGAGAGGGTGATGGCCAGGTATCAGCCTGGCTCTGGTAGAGCTGTTTATTTCAGTGGTTGCGACCATGGTACAAGAAAACAGGAAGCAGGAGCATATTTAGTTTGTCAGGTGAAATAATGATGATCATCTCTTCCTAAAGTTCTGTCTTTGTTGTAATTTGTGTGTTGTGTTTCTGAAGTTTAAAGGTCTCACCTTATTTATACTGTAATAGTCTGTCCAGGTGAATGCAGCTGTGTTCAGTTCTGAGTGCGTGTTAAATTCATTTGTGGAGAAAAGAGTGAAGCGAAAGGTTAAATAACTTTGTAAATGCAGCTATAAAATGTTATTGACCACGTGGGGGTGGGGGAAGAAGAAGTGAAGGGTTGATTTTCAAAGGCATTTATTTGAAAATTTTTACACTGGTGGAAGGGCAAGTGATCCCAGACTTGTGCAGCCGAGTCTGTGCGTGCAAACATCCAGCACTTTGGCAACTCTCAAAATTTTCCAGTGAAGAGCTTTGGAAATCTTACATTATTTTGAAAAGTGAAAATCTCTGCTTAGTGAAAACTCCTCCCTCCCATCCAGAAATGTATTTCAGCCCCGTTTTGGTTTTTTTTTTTCCCTGTCAGGGAAATGTTTACAGTAGCACGTGTTGAATATAAAGCATTTTCCTCTGTTGCATTTAGTCTTTTGGTTGTTTTTCATAGCTGAGCCGGCTCAGCCGCCTTCTGCCTCTAGCAGTGGCAATTCTGATGATGCAATTCGATCCATTCTGCAACAAGCCCGACGGGAAATGGAGGCACAGCAGGCTGCCCTTGAACCTGCCTTAAAAACACCACCTCTATCTCAAGCTGACATTTCTATCCTGTCCCCCAAACTAGTGTCTACACCTGCAATGTCTTCGGTTTCCAGCTATTCTCCTTTGGCCATATCCCTGAAGAAACATTCATCTGTCACTGATTCCAGTATCTCTGCATTGCAGAACCTCTCTGGGCTCAAAAAGGAGCCTCAGGAGGCACCTGTTTTAGAGCTTCATGGAATAAGTGATTCTGCCCAGGGTATGTTGAGGCATGTTAAAAATGAGTTGGGACGTGGTGGTGTTTGGAAGGACCATTGGTGGAATACTGTGCAGCATGAGAGAAGAAATGCAGCTCTTCCTGAAGATATAAAAGTTGAGGAAGCCAGTGGTGGAAAAGAAAAGGTCAGCAATCAGACTAGGCCAGATCGTAGCCAGCTCCAAGGACCGTCTTCTTCCGAGTATTGGAAAGAGTGGCCAAACGCGGAATCTCCGTACTCGCAGAGTTCTGAATTGAGCATGACTGGGGCGAGTCGCAGTGAGACACCACAGAATAGCCCCCTCCCTTCATCCCCTATCGTGTCCTTGTCCAAGCCATCCAAACCTTCGGTTCCTCCACTGACACCCGAGCAGTATGAGATTTATATGTACCAGGAGGTGGATACCATAGAGCTAACGCGGCAGGTCAAGGAAAAGCTAGCAAAGAATGGCATCTGCCAAAGGATCTTTGGGGAAAAGGTAAAGAAGTGGTTCTCTCTTGTTTCACCAGTGTTGTGATTGTGCCCTCTGCTCCTTACACAGGTGCAGAGGCAGAGGGGTCCTGTGGAAAAATGTTTTTGCTCCCTGTGTGAAGTATTTCAAAACTTACAAAGTGTTAGTTTCCCTGTGTGGTAGGAATTGCAAGGGTTTTTATACAGGGATTGGCTTCAGCCACTTGGAATTAGGGATGGGGCCCCACGTTTAGAAAACTTGCAAGCTGAAGCAAACGTTGTTGAGACTCAATATTTCATGGTTAATGTAATGAATTCGTGGAATATTTGAGTAATACCATTGTCATGACTGGAGAGTCTTAAGTTTGTTATAAGCGAAGATTATGGACACAAGAGCACTTTTCCTTTTTCGTTATTATTTGGAAATGTGCACAAGGGCATTAAAACAAACACATGGAAAATCCCCTAACTCTCCTTAGTCTGAAGTCAAGAATTCCAAGTCATTTCTAATACCTGGTGCTCAGTACCTCAGTGTGCTCTGAGATGTTTTAGAGCAATGTTTGATTTCAGATAAGGTTCCCTGAAGTTCTCAAGTTGTGAGCCCTAAGCACTGAGCACATGGGATTTTGAGGGTCCCTAAACATCAGAAAACCCCTCCCAGGCTGTAAAAAGTGTTGGACATTTGTTTTTTCTTCTTCCTATAAAGAATTGAATCAATATAAAAGTGTAATAGGAGCTGGCATCGCACTATTACCTTCTCACTAAGATGTAAAATGAAAAGTCTGACCTCTCGGGGTCATTAAAGATCCCGTGGCAGCTTTCATTAAGTATGATTTTTAACTCTTGTACCAGTGCTGAATACCAGGCAAGTAATTGCATTCTGCCTGTCTGAAATTCTCCCCCCTCCCCCCCGCATTCAGCTGTATTCTTAAATATTTACTTATGTGGAGCAGCTGCTGCTACAGGTGAAAACACACATCGTTATAATTCATCCCCCAAAAATCAACCAAATATAGGCCTAGTCTCAAAAGTCCCAATTATTTTTGTTTGAGAACAAAATACATGCCAGTCATTGCCTGTTTCATCTGCCTGTGTGTGCCTGGACTCGGTGTTTTTCCTGTTAAAACTGATGAAACTGTTTGACACAAAATATGAAAAGCATGCAAATCCTTCACCAGGCTGCTGCCACCCAGATCCTACAGGAAAAACCCACCTTCCTTCAGAAGGCAACACGGCAGGAAGAAAAGCATTTCCATCCAAGTATCCACAGAATAGAGTTTTTATAATTGTCCAATTTTTACAGCTTTTATAATTGTCCATATACAAACAATTTGAGCGATAGAGTAAAGGAAACCAAAATAATTTAAATTCCCCCCGTTTCCACTGCCAGTGTGTTAACGTGCCATTCTTGGTTGCTTCACTTCAGGTATTGGGGCTGTCCCAAGGAAGTGTCAGTGACATGCTCTCCAGGCCAAAGCCATGGAGCAAATTGACCCAAAAAGGCCGAGAACCATTTATTCGTATGCAGCTCTGGTTGAATGGTGAGCTGGGACAGTGTGTCCTGCCTGCACAAGGGCAGCAACAAGGACAAGGTAATTAAAATTCCACTATGTTGTTTGAGTTGAGGAGGAGGAGAGGTTTTTTTTTTTTTTTCTTTTTCTATTTTCTGTATTTTTTTTTTTAAATTTGCAGTAAGCCAGCCTTGCACTAGTGCTGGTCCAGGTGTTATGGAAGTGGCACCATCCCACCCTGGCAGCCCGGCCAGTCCCTAAGAGAATGTGCTGGGAATGTTTATGAACGTTTATGTGTAATTGATAAGCAGCAGTTATCAAGTTCCTCATTAGGGTGATATTATCTAGGCATGAATATGACACACAATCCCAAAAATTTTGGCCAAAGAGCTGGAAAATGTTGTGCGCTGTTTCCTAGGGTTGCACAGGGGATTTGGATTGTTCCAGGGAGAATATCGATTGCTGTCTCAGGAGGTGAGCTGGAAAACTGAGCTTTAAAGGGGGAATGCTGGGTTGCAATGGCACTTCTGTTGTGGCTGTCTCTTCCCCTAGTACCTGTTGACACAGAAAAGCCAGGCTGGAGCCTGGCCTGGGTGCACCTTTCTGTGCCATGAGTTAACTGAGCAGCGAGCCCTTGCCGAGATCAGCACTGTGCTATTTGTTGAGCCTGCTTACTGTTTAGTTTGTGGTTTGGCATCTCCTTTTATTGTTCCCTGATTTTCCTCTCCTCTCTTATCTAGTCCTTCACTCTGTGACATCATTACAGGATTCCCTACAGCAGGGATGTGCAAGCTCAGGTAATCAGCTGGTTTCAATGATTTGCTCTGAAATAATTCTCTGTGCTTTTGTTGCGTTTGCTTTGATGCTGAGAGGTTTCTCACATTTTGTTGTATCACACAGGAGTCCCTTCAGTTTTTTTTTATTAATGCAGTTAATTCCTCTTTCTCTCCTTGTTGCTATGGCAGATGTAGGGAGCACACATATTTAGCTGCATATATTAGGTAAAGAGACTCTGTCTGATCTGAGAGATCATTGGCTCTGTAAGGGCTTTTTTTTGCCATAGTTCAGCTTATCAATGTGACATGTGACAATGGCTGTAAAACAAGCCCTTGGTTTGTAATGTGATCCACATACTCCAGCTGCCTCACTTGCTGGTAGGTTTTTTTCCACTCTCCTTTGCACAAAATCTGCTTTGTTAATCCAAAGGTGGGGAACAGACCACGTTACGTCTGTTTCAAGCTTCATTAAACATTCCCAGCTGACCTTATTTTTTCTTTTTTTCATTTTCAAAAAATAAAAATAAATAAAAAAGCAGATGCAGCAAAGCTGAGTGTCAGGGAAGTGAGTGGCTGAAGGCTTTAGAGATGGTCACAGGATAGGAGGGAGGCTGGGACAGGAGAGAACAGCTGTGTTCCTGCTGTTAGATACCAAACTCTACCCACACAGCCTCTTACCAATGAAATGCTTCACTGACGTAAAACACTCCAGAAAAATACCCGTGCCCTGCTCTGTGCTTACAGCCAGTGCCCTGTGCTGGAGAACTGCTGCATTTCAGGGCACAGACAGGGAAGGGTTGCGCTCTTCTTTCACCTCTCTGCTATTCTGAAAAACTCCTTTTTTCTGCAGCTCGCTGGCTTTACTCTAAATATCCCAGCTAAAGTGTTTTTTTCTCTCTACTGGGGAAACTGTTTTGCATTCTAAAAGATTTTACTAGAAGAAAATTCGTGATGATATTCAGTCCACGTTTTTCTTAAGGAGAACAGTTGAAAATAAATACATAAAAGAAAGAATAAAAAAAATGCCCCCAGTAAAAACAAGCCATGAAAACAAAACCAAAATGGGAGAAAATTATTTGCAATCATAGGGCTATTGTTACTTATAGCCAAGCATTTAGGGAACATGGAAATTTCCTGTGATGGTTCATTAAAAACATGCCATTGAGTACTTTTTTTGCGGCATCAATGCCGTGCAAGAGTGTCACAGTTACAAACGCCTGAGACGGCGTGGAAAATATGAGTAATTAATTGTAGCCATTTTAGGGGGAATTCGAAATCAGAGGAGCTGGGAAATGCTGCATTGTTATTGCTAATCTTCATATTTATGACTAGCTCTAATTATAAAAGATGGAAAGACAAGCCCATAGTATTAAAATCCAACCACCCTCTGGATTCCCGGGGGGATGGCTGGGAGCTGAAAGTGATTTCCTTCAGGAAGTTCAGTTTTGCTGCTGGGATATTTTGTTCCCTCCCACACTCCCAGTGTCGTTTGTCAGTTCCTGCCCTTGAGCTAATATTTTGTGAGGTGACACGTTCCTATCAGCTAATAAAATCATGTTATTGATGATTGTCCTCCTTCATTCCTTAAAGCCAACTTACAAATGAGAAAATGGGCTCGTGCCCTTTTCTACCTCCTCTCGGAGGATTAAAAATAGAATTGTTGTACAAAATGTTCTTTTCTTGGTGCCTTTCTCTGTTTGAAGGAATAAGGAAGGTTGTGACACCAGGCAGAACAAAAGAGCAAAAACCAAGTTATTTGAATGAGGAAGGGCAGTTTGGTAATTTCCTTTTATTAGCAGCTGTTCTGTAATTAAAAATGCAGCAAACAGTTTGGAAAAGGTAATAATAATTATGCATTTGTGAAAGATCCATCACTCCAGGGCAGGGAGGAAAAAAAAAAAAAGAGAGAGAGAGAGACAGCTCCAATTTTCTGGTCTTCTGAGACATTTCCCAGGAAAATCAAGGCAGAGAAGGTTGCATACTTGTAATTTTAAAACAGAAATTAATCAGAACAATTTTGAAACGAGGAGAGGTCTGGAGCCTTTTCCATGTAATATAATTGGCTGGGAACTTGTTGAATGCATGAAGGGAAAGAAGTGAAATTAAACTAATACACTCAGTGGCTCCTGAGTGCTTTGCCAAGAAGGTCTTCAGTGTACAGAGTGTCAACATGCATAGTAACGACTCAAACTTTCATTAGCTGGGAGTATTCTCATTACTATTTGGCTCTATTCTATCGACCTAGCCAGATTTTCTGGATTTCTGGCCCAGTTAGTTACACTTCTAGATCATGAAGTTTTGATTAACACCTCATTCATGAAAATCTCACCTTTTGTCCAGTAATTTTGCATTTTCACGTGTAGAAAGATGGGCCCATCAGTGTTTCATATAGTGAATGGATAAACATATATATGTTTTATATATTTATATATATGTTGAGATAGTAAAGGGAAGCCAAGCTTAGTTTTCTTCTTTGGAAACCCAATTAATGGATTTTGTAAAAAACAGCCTATACCAAAATGAGAGCCAGGTATATGCCTGTATTTTCTCCCTGTGAGTTTTCCTCAAGGCTTGGTGATTTTGTGCAAGTTTCAGGGAACATGTTTTACACAAAAATGGTGTCTGTACCCTAGGTGGTCAAAAATAGTATTGCTGTGCCTTTTCTAACATTTTTTCTGTGTATTTCTTTCCACCTAAATGCTCTAATGCCCTTGGGTAAATCTGCCTTTTTAATGATTTATGTGTCAAAAGCATGGACCAAATCACATGGAAAAAAAAGTTGAATTAGTGTCACCCAACTGCATCAGCATTTTTTCCTGATGAATTTGGCCCTTATTTAGTTGCATTACTGCTGATGGGAGCCGGGGTGGGTTTGAACGGTTGCCATGTGCCAGGAGAAGGCTCAGATATTTCTCTAAATACTTGTACTGTGCACAGCTTTTATTAGTTGGTTTTATTTTGAGGGTTTGTGCTGCGTATCTATAGGAGATTGAGACAGAGTTTCCTTTTTGGTGCTGTTGGTTCCGTCCGTGGCTGCTCGCAGGAAAGCTGAATTTTTACGTTCACTTTTTTCTTTATCCTCTGTGAAGGACATATACACTCTCTATACTACATTAAAGGCTTGCAAATACTCAGTGGGAAGAAGACGTGCCTTTTTGGTGTGTGTTTCTGTAAGGGTCGTCTTATGACCTAATGTGGAAATCTTCATTTGCCGATACAGCTGCGGGTGATCTCAGGGGATTTTGAATTTCCCTTTTGTTTGTCTTCCTTTCTGGGTATCATCCATCATTCCTAACCTCATGCTGCTTAGCAATAGTAACACTCATGGGAGTTGAAGAAAGGATTATAGCAGCATAAAATGGGGAGCTAATTAGAGCTTGTTTCAAAATCAGAATCTAGCTTGAGATAATTGCGTATTATCTGGTGATTTAAAAACCCGAGATCTACTGTATTTAGATCAACTGAAATATGCATAAAAGCTTTCTTTTCAAAATAAAGCATTTGCAACAACGGGGAGATTACTTCTTATCATCCCTTGGGGACACAAATCAGAAAAACCTCAGGATGATTTTGTGTTGTTATGATATTAACCGAGAGATCGGGGTGTGATGGCAGAGCCAGGTATCCACTGTATTTTCATTTGTGTAATACAGATTCCTGTAACATTGGCCAGTACAGAAGCTGCTGAGTGGGCAGGTAGTTAACTGTGTGCTGGGTGGATATTCCCATTTTCCTGATACCAGGAGAATTCTGTCACGTTGGCTGCTCTGGGAGAAACAAAGTAGGGAGAGAGCGTGTTTCAGGCTGGCAGCCCAAATTCAGGAACACAATCCTGATGCACTTCTGGGAAAGCTCAGTAGCCTTGTGGTGCCAAAGGAGAAACCCTTACCCCCATCTCCCTGTGTTTTATCATCTTTCCTTGCGTTGTTCTGCTTTGTTTGGGTGGGCAGAGCTCACCCAATGCAGTGGTGCTCCAGAGCACAGCTGGGAGAGCTGAGTCTTTTCACTGTGATGTCACCAGTGATTGGTTGGTGCAGTGATGCTGACAGACCTTCCAAATTGGAGCTGGTTTTTGTTGTTGAATCAAAAAAAAAAAAAGAAAAAAAAGAGAGAGAGGAATGGTTTTGCAGTCATTTGCTGGCATTCCAGGTTAATAAAAATGTATGACATGAAATGTTTGTGGTTAATGTAGTCTGTGAAATGGAAGAGAAGGGAGATCACATGGCTCAGACAGCCGACTGCAGGAATTCCTTGCAGAGATGTTTTGTGTTTAATGACCAATTGCTGAGTCTTGGACTTGGGAAAGTTGTGGCCTTTTGTGCTAGGTACAAATGTGGTTTTAAAGTTCAGAGCTGAACTACTACATCAGCCAAAGAGTTACCTTCATGCTTATCCCTGGAGCACCCTGGCACATCCTGGTGAAGTTTCCACATTTTTTCTGTGTGGTTTGGGATTGGGCTCAGGAGCAGTTGTCTGTGGCTGTGTTGATTTCAAACCATAGGGTATCAGCTGGCTCCTCATAAGGGCAGCTGTTGTAGTCTGTCTGTAACGTGTGTGATCATCTTCTGTGCCACTTCCCTGACATTTGGACCATGAAAAGCTCCCTGGCAGCCTTTCTGGTATCAATAAAACCAGGAGAGTGGCTGTCAGGGCACCTCGCTGAGACCTGGGAATGCAGCATGAAGTCAGTGCCTCGAGTTGATTCTGAACACAACGCTGGCTCTGATTCCTGGCCATCAGCTGGGCATTCCTGCTTCCTGCTGGGGCCTGTCCTGCCCAGGCTGCCTCCCACAGCCCTGCTCCTTTTCCATCAGTGATGTTTGCAAATAGTCAGTATTTGTGGAGAAATTCCTCTGCTGGTTGTATTCTCTGTCCATGGAACCACCCACTGATTCAGTTTGCAAAAGACGACTCTGTCCTTGCTGTGGTCACATATTTGCTGTGAGAAGGGCTAAAGGGGCTTTTAGAAGGGCTAAAATAAAACATGAAATCAGGGAGTGAACACTGTTTTCTAGGCTGAC